CGCCCTCCCTGTGCAGGTTGTGTCGCATCCAAGCACCACTCTGCTGCGGTCGGACAGGGGTCGACAAAGGCAGATCTAGTGACGGTGAGGAGATGTTGATTTGAATCGTATCTCCCACTAGCAAGGCTGCAGTCCATGGCCCACGGCGAATGGATCCTCGTCTGTATTAGGAGCTCTACGCTTGGATCCGTCCGCACCGCCCTGGGGCGATTCGCAGACCTTATGCGGTGAGGGAACGTTGGTAGAAACCACCTTTCCCCCCACTAGCAGCTGCAGCCAACAAGCCCCACCAATCATCTCTCTGCTTCGAGAAGTAGAGGGCCTGGTGCTTGGACTAGTGGATTGGCCACTTGGCGAATGGGCCGCAGACCTATGACGGTGAGGAAAAACGTTGCGTAGAACCATCTTCCCCACTGCAGGCTGCAGCCGATGTGTCCCTCACCAATGGGCTCCATAAAGGCCTGCTTCAATATATTTTTTTCTCTCCCTCTCTGTTTTCTTCTTTTGTGCAAACAAGAGCAGATTTGGTGCACTGATTTGGTTCTCCGCTTTTGAAATGTATATTAATGTTAATGTTATATAATTAAATTCCGCGGTAAGCCGCCCTTTTTTCCGGAGAGGGTGGGTGTCGCGATATGGCTCCGGCCCCTCGCGGACACGCTGCCGTCGCGCAAGTGACCCAGATGTCACTTTGCGACGCCAGCGTTTCCGACGGGCTATAAATTGGCGCAGGGCTTTCGCCACCTCGCCCCTCTCTGATGACACGTCAATCTGCCGAGCCAGCTGTCGCCACGCCAACCGGTTCCAGTCGGAGGGTCTAACAACGCGGTAAGTGAATAAACATATTTAAAATATACTCTGTTTCTTCCCTACGGTTCCCCTGTGGGGGTGCCTCCCTCTCCCCCTCAAACTCGCGTACAGAGCGAGGTTAATTAGTTCTGTTTTTTGATTTGTGATGCCATTTGCGTTCCAATTTATGAGAGTTAAGTTATTATGGAATGGACTGCCATAGCTATTACTTAATATGATGATACTGAATTTTGAATTGTTGAAATGATATTTGGGATTAATGATGAAATTTATAATACACGATATCGAGTTGATTATTGTGTGATTGTTTGTTTGGGAAGGGAGTGAATTTCTATTATGCTGTGAGGAGGTTGAATTTAGGTCATTGCTCGGATTTTAAGGTGGGGCATTGTTATTGGGGGTAAAAATGTGAAGAGGTCGAGTGGTAGGCAGGTATGGAAATTGAGTTGTTGAGTTATTGGGGGGGGAGGGAATGTGTTTTCTTAGTTGGTGGTAGATTGTTTCTATTGCTTAATTTATTAGAATTTCTTTCATATATAGCGCTATAGTATGGACAGTTTGAATTTCTAACATCTGCTTAGTTGCACACTAAGGTTTTGAATTTTTACTTTGGCAAGTAACTGTGTAGTGATTTCCTGCGCAATACACCCAATGTATTACATGATTACCAATATTTTTGTGTGTCCATAGTCAAGGCATCTTTGACATTGAATGGGGGCGGAAGATCTTCGTCTTCTTTCTGTTTTTATTTTACATAATTCGTTTATTGATAATATAGCCTCTAATGGTTCATTCCCGCGGTATTCTGCTGCAACAACTGGTATGAGTTTATTTTATTTGAGAAGTTTAGTTACTTCAATAATGGAAGGGTACCGCTGTTGTAAGTCTTGTAATATTTCCGAATCAGAAATGTTTTTGAATAGCTAATGTTTTTGAAAACCACCGAGTACTTATTGTTTGCCTGATCTTTGTACGTGTGAAAACTTCTCAGCGTGCTAATTAAGTATTTCACCAGATTTCTAGTGTGTAATATTTTTAACTAATTTTTACTTTCTGATATCTGCAGTCTGCTATGAAATTTGTTGATACTTTTGAATTTAGTTCTTTTACGAAATTATTTATATTAGGAATGGGAGGAATACGGGAGGCTACGAAAATGGGAGGAATTTTATTTGCATTGTTGGTTTGTTCACTACTGATTTCGTTTAGATAGGTGACTCTGTTGTTTTCGATGCTTAAGTTAACTTCACTTAAATAACCGAATCTGTTGCTGATTGGTACGTTGTATTGTACATTGTTTGGAACTGACTTTTCACTGTCACATACAGACCCCCGCACTTTTTTTTCGCATCTTGCGTATTTTCGCAATCACTCACCGACCTTTTTCGATGATTGCTGTTTTTTGCTGCTATTGGGATGGCTGTGTCCTCTACGGTTGATTGGATGGAGGCCACTCCAATACCGGAGTCGCAGCTTTGCTGGTTCATGGCTGCCTGTAGTTGGATGTCTATTTCGTCTTCCGTGGAAGAGGATTGTTGGAATAGTCACTTCACCATTAGCTGAGTAGTTGATGTCACTGATGACTAGGTGCAGGGCTGGACTAATTGCTAGCCCTGTTGCTGAAAGTATGCCATTAGACTTATAAAAATGAAAGTCACTTAGTTGACTACTGACTCACTTCAACTTAAATAAGGTTTATTACACCAAGTTATGCACGGTGAACGGAGCACCGCTGAGACGAACCTCACAGCTCGGACGCTCGGAGCAGAATGTGTGATAAAGATTAACAGTTTCTTCAGATATTTTAAAAGTTGCTGAATTTAAATCATTCGAATTCTAAATGGAAGCATTGACTATGAGTGATAGCTTATGATAAAAAAGTGATAGCGTTTTAAACGAGGAATCATTATCAGTGACATCAAATTTGTGGTTCTATTATGGAATGCTAAAAAATGCATAAAATATATACGAGAAGATTAACATGTCTACGTAAGTTACACATTATATATTATTACACTATATAAAATAATACTTTTCGTAATACTACCATTGTATGTCTAGGAAGAAGTCCCATAAATAAGAAATGCCGTGCCTTGTTCAAGAGTACTCATCCTCCATCTTTAGCTACTACTCATATGTTTGGATTGTTCTTAACGAATGGCAAAGTGTAAAATCTTTAACGGCCACTGGTTGCTGAAAGATCTTTTCTTCCTGATTTTCTGGTTTCGTTAGGACGACGTAATAGAACAGAATTACAAATATTATTTTAACTTCTATAGCAGTATTTTAATGTATGCTGGTTGGGTCGGGGACTTAATTTGTTGTTTTGATGATTCGTTTCTTTGGATCTATTTTTTAATACCAGTCCACTAGCGTGTTAATGTGCGCAAATAACGAATGTAATAAAACTGACAATTATTTTCTATTAATATCCAGTTAACGTTTTTCACATTATTATCCGATTCTTAGCTGCTCAATTCTGAATATTATAACTGTGAATGAAAAGACGGGAGAAGGTTGACGATTTGATTCTCGATGTCACGATCAAACACAACGCGGATGACGTCACGTATTTTTTCTGATGATTGGGCCGGTCGTTTCGACGACAGGTAAGCAAAAACGTAAATACATACGTCATGTATATGACATATTGATGTATGATGTGCATATGACAGCGTTAAGTGTTTGCACGGTTTTGAGTTTCAGTCAATCCTTCACTGCCCATTCTGTGAACACGCACATCAGCACGTAAAATAATTATGCCACCTCTATTGCATGTCTTGTGAATCTACTAGAGTAAACATAATTAACCCCACGTCATCTACGCTCGGCTGCCACATTACCCTAGCATCTTACACTCCATGCCTCATAATGCGAGGTAGGGGTGTCAAAGCTCTAAAAGGGTAATTCCAACAACTCATCGTATAAAGAGTGCTAGGAAATATATAACACTAAGCCACCTTAAGACTTTTACAAGAAAGGCAATTAAAGTTCAAGTAGTACCGTAAATCAGGTTATCAATATAAAAAGTATTTTTATTGCAATACTTCCAGGCTTTTGGGACACAGCTGAGATGAATGATTTTGATTGATGTGGGATGATAATGGTGATGGTAAAGATGTGGTTTTAATGATGACAGAGTAATAGTGGAATGACAGTCAGAGGAAACGGTGGTCCAGCATCGTTGACCACAAATTACAAATTGTTTAAGAGGGATAGAAACGCTGTACAAAGAGGTGGAAAGCCTGACTACTATACTACGTCCCTTTTGCTTTCAATGAACCAAATACCATTCACTCTTACATGTCGGCGAATCAGAAGTGTGACCATCCTGGCAAAGGCGTACGTGACCAGGGGGGAACGGGGATGAGGTTTTCGCCGGGTGGGGCGGATGGCGGTAGGGGTGAGGCATGGTAGACCAGGGCGGGTGTTCTTACAAGGAAATATAGGACTGCGGAGAATGCGGGAGAGGGGTTGGGCGGGCTCGGACGAGG